GCTTTTCGCCGCAGTAAAATATAAGCATTGTTAGATTTAGAAATGAAAAAAACATAATAAATATTAATTAAAAATAAAAAACATAATAAAAATTATACTTAATAATTCTTTCCTCTTATTTTAACAACTTTCAAATTGCATAAAAATAAAGCCCTCAAGTAAACCATAATTACTTCCGGATGTGTTTGATTTTACGTTACATATTTTATATTTGTATTTACTATAGCAAATAATATTTGCTATATATTTTATTTCCTATTTTATACTATAAGCTTATACGAAAAATATTATAATTAATCAAAAACGAGATGTTGTTTACTGAAATGAAAGTCAAAGAAAACTTTAAGTCCATTGAGCGTGCTATGAATATTTGATTCCGTATCCAAACTCGCAAAACAAAGGCAGCGTCGTATTACTCAATGTTTTTTGTGATTCATTTCATGTCGGAAAAAATCATAGAAATTAAATTAGATCAACTTTTGTGTTTTCGTGAAAAAGCGTTTTAAAAAAAATATTTTATCCAGAAGGTATCCAATATTATGTCTATTATTTCGGTCACGGGAGCTCTTAATAACATAAATGATCGTAGTATAAGTACATTTTTTTGTTTAGATAAGAACGTTCTATACATAACCTAACGGCTCACACTCGCTTCGCTCGGGTTCGCCTCTAGAAAAACTAAAACAAATCTATCCCACGGGGCACGTACATTTCTCCGGGATAAAAAGTAGCCTATGTGTTATTTTGATGTATGAGCTCTATTGTTGTAAAGTTTCATTAAAATCCATACAGTAGTTTTTGCTTGAAAGAGTAACAAACATCCATATATCTTTACATCTAGACATCCATTTATCCTCACAAACTTTCGCATTTATAATATTTGTAGGATTGTTTGTCAACTTATATTTATGTTCTTATTAATATATGATTTATTGTTTCACCGTCTAAGTGTGAATACGACCAAAAAGCGATGGGATGGCTTCAAAAAGTCTCTGAGTTAACTTTGCTGACTTCTCAACTTCAACATGAAGTTTCTTTTAGTCTTGTTTTAAGTTCTTATTTTACATTATACCATTCATAATTTCTGGCATACTGAATAAAAGTATTATAATTAAGTATCAATTTGTAATTTATAGAAAAAGCAATTGAATTATAAACTGGGTAGGTATAGTAAATGTTTTTAAAATGTACCTAATGAATGTTATGACGTACCAGAGCTCTATATACTCGTTTTTGATATCTAACTGCAAGGTTTAGGTAAGAATATCATAAATATGTTTTTTTTGTGTCTTCATTATAGTGTATTTCCGGTAATCCAACAACTAGTGTCGGACAACGAAGAATGAAATGAAAATCTTACTTTATTCTCGAAAGCTCGTAAAGAAAGATAAAACTATTTCTTTATAAGAATCTTTAACATTTGTTGACAATCGTGACTGATTCCCTATCGGAATAGGGAGTTGGTAGAAAAATTGAACTTCAATGATTTGTTAAATATTTTATTAAATTTATAAACATTTAACATACATTTAAGATGGACACATAATTTAATTACGTGAGAAAATGCTAGTGAAAACCTCGATGATTTTTTACATTGACACATACATACATACAAACTATTTACATTCATATTAATTAATCATAAATATATTATATTCAATCTTAGATTACACAGACAGTTAATTGTTATATTATTAAATATTGTTTTATAATAATATTAGATATATGTAATGTAGCGATATGCTATATACATTTTACTATACAAATAGCGCTTTGTTTCCCAATGTATTTAATTAATATTACTTATAAAATTTATTTCTATGTATAAATGTAACAAAGCTTTGGCAACATTTAATTATCAATTTTATATTAGAATTATGGTATAAAGTTTATTGTAATTTAAAGATGTTTATTCTTTATTCAGTGTTATTTCTGCCCGTATGTTTTATCGTCAATAGCTTTCATAATATTTATTTTGTACTGAGATTTTATATCATAAATACATCTTTCACGTAAATCAAAAAGAATGTTTAAAGTCCAATGATGATGGAAGAATTTTTGTAATGTAATGTAATAGCCAGCCCTTTTAAAGTTATACTTCTTTTGGCACGTTTGAAAAAAAATTATGAGAGTAAAATTTTTACGTTGCGCGCGCGCACCGACAGCCAAAAAGCAACATTAACGTTAGCTTCATTCCTTTTACAAACAGAGAGTTGTGACATACGGGATGAAATCTTTAGCTAGTTTTGTTCTCTTACGCCAAAGAAGTATAACTTCTTACGTGCGTACATAAGTACACGCGCACGTTTTTTTTAACGTCCCCCTGCTCGGCATGGGTCTCCATTCAATGCGAGGGGGATCACACCATAGTCCATGCCAGAATTATTGAGGTATTTAAATGAACTTTATTTATTTGAACTATGCATTTCGAGTTATGTTATAAAAACAGATTAATTTATTAAGTATATGTCTAAGAAAACACGAAGAAATTCTTTAACACGTCTTAGCTGTACATTTTTTTTAAACATTATATACCTTATTCGAGATTCAAAATATTTTCACATTCGACATGCCAGTATTATCAAAACACAATAATATGTTAATACTATAAGACTATGCTATCTCCATAAAATGTAAAGAAAGATAATAAGTTCATAAATATATGCACTGCAAGTGTTTTATTTAGGATGCTAAAAAATAAGAACACAATTTCGTTGGTGAACAGTACATATGTACGGAATCGAGTCGTTGCTGTCTTGACATTATTAATAAAATGAAGTAAACAGCTACAAAAACCTTTTTTAAGTTATTTTCCATTTGTATATATAATATTATAATTTTACTTATATTTGAACCCCACATATACTTAATTGATATATCTATATATTTACATAAATAAGTTTCAAACACATTTGAACAAATATATTTGAAAAAGGATGTTTTTTTTTATATTTTCGCGAATATAGGGTTATTTCTTTTGAAGTTACTCGTATACCTCTTTTGTTGCGCTTGGGAAAAAATTATGAGAGTGATTATTTTACGATGGGACAGATTTTGACTACAGTAAAGTTAGTGGTTAAATCTCCCTTTGTGTGATGTCTATATTCAAGATATTTATTCCGGGATTTATATACACACAACACGTGTTTTATATCGATAAAAATATCTTAAAAACATTGATTTATTGTGAATATATTAAGTAATAAAAGGTGTTTTTATATTTTTTTCAAACTATTTTTTGTATCATTGAAGTTACATTATTTATAAATTATTACTTTACTATTTAATAAATAAATAATCTATTTTGATTATTTTTAATTAAGCCTTTATTAATTATTGTGTTCAATATATTTATTTTATTATTTTATCGTCGTTTTTGCAAATGTACAATATTAGCACGCAGGGTAAAATGTTTAGAAGTTATTTTTATTTTGGTATGCCAAAGAAATATAACTTCTTACGTGCGTACATAAGTACACACACACACACACACACACACACACACACACACACACACACACACACACACACACACACACACACACACACACACACACACACACACACACACACACACACACAGATACATTTTTATTTAAATCTAATTATTAAAAAATATAATATGAGATTCCACTATTTATACCAGTTGAAAAAAAAACTTTTTATTAACATGATTATATTTATTAATATTTTATTTTTAAACACATAATTAGTTACACCACTATACATTACATATTACAACAATAGATTCTATACATTTAAAATATTTGAGGTAAATGACTGAAAAAGTTACTTATACTTAGTTTAACTTTGATATGCAATATAAAAGTTCTTTAGAGTCTCTCTCACACAGATAAAGCGACCTTGACATACCTGATCTATAAGTAGACCACACCAACGACTTAGACAAGTTGAATTTCTACAATCGACATCGTTTAAAGAAACCCAAAAAAATATGGAAACAACTTATTTAGTTGACGTGACTTAATATTTGCAAACGATATTTCTAAACATTTTTGCTTATATACGGGGTGGAATAAACGAAGGGAAATAGAAGAACATTAAATATTGTAAATATTAAGTTTTACTCAGGGAAAACATTCTCTTATTTTTAAAAACTAACGTGAGCCGGTAATCGAACCAACTAAAAATAAATCATCACTTTATTATATTATTGAACTAATCAATAGGGTTATGGCATCGTTTCTATTTTACCTTGTATTACGTAAGCGATAGCGATTGTAGTAAGTTATTTTCTCAACGTCCACAACAAGCTTTTAATCACAAACGTACTTCAAGAGTGTTTTGAATCTGTTAGATTTTTTTTAAACAACGAAATTTTCTTTTTTATAAACATGCTATCTATGATAATAAGAGTATGATATCTATAGATATATGTATTTTATATATGTAACACTTAAATTAATTTTGCAAAGCTCAATAAGTCAATCACAACTATGCATAAAGTCTATGTAAGCTCACAGTTAATTGCAAATTATATATACATCTTACTTTAACGAAATATTAGAAACAATTGAAATATTTTCATAATAACTTTGTATTACTGTAGTTGTAAAAATTTTTAATGAAGCTTCCATCAGTAAGTTGAAAATTTAACGTCCCTTATATATTTAAATATTATGGTACACATTTGCCACTATCATCCATAGAGTTGTATCGTGATAAATACGCCAACATAAGTGTTATCATATTTCTAGTAACTAATTTGTGTCAATATTTTCTAAAGGCCCATTTTCAGAGTTAGAGAATTTATCATTTATGAGATCATTGTAGTTCTGGATGTCAACAGCATTAGGGTTGTGGAAAGTCAAAGAAGTGCTGTAGGAATGCTTAAAAGTTGGCGTGATTTGGGATTCACTAGGAGAGACGGGAGATCTTGGTGAGATGGGTATGTGATGGAGGGTGGAATAGGCGGGGGAGGGAGGGTCCTCCTCGTGAAGAGTGTTGAGGCGCGAGAGCCTCCCCCGCCCCCCGCCTCACACCGGCGACTGCTCCCCGCTTGCACTCCCGCTTGTTATGTAATCCTGCGCATCAATAAAATTAGATCCATTTGGTTGGTTTTGACTATTTGTAGAGTTATTTAATAACACCTGTTACTTTTTTCATAGCATTCTGTTTATTTATTATTATTTCATAAATTAATTAATTATAATGTTAAGAACATATTATTACACTATCTTTTTCCCGCGAGTCCGCCCGCAGTTTATTTATGTTAAATGAATTGCTCTGTTTCTGCGTCGTGTATAGAAAGTTTTCTATATACTAATGCATTAGAAAACGAAAGAGTTAAAACAAACAATTCTTAATATTTATAATTAAATAAGAAGCATACCATTCATATCTTTTCTCGTTCTAAAATATATTTAGATTTGCTAAAAAAATGGCAGTTGTAAATAACTTACAGCGTGTAGATGTCTCCCGTCGTAGTGTGGTGCAAGCGACATGCGCGGTACCAATAAAGTTGTGGTCGTCGTTTCCGACGCTGCAGACTCCCGCTTCGAAGGGTGGCTGTATAACCTAACCCATAGTCTTGATATAAGAATTATTATTATTGAATTATATATTTTTCTAAACCATATTTTGTTGTCAAAAATTAGTCCCCATACAATTTTAATAATAAAAATTACACATTATTACCTATTCAAACATTATTTATATTTGTCTCTTTATTGTTTTATTTGAAATATTCAAGTAAGAAAATATTTATAAACTTGTTGTATTAAAAGTTCGAATGATTATGTTCAGATGTGTGAAGTGAATAATCTCACGTTTAAAATGAAAAAAATCTCACATGAGAGATTTTGGCATTTTTTTAGCCAACATAAAGAACCTAATCCTATGTTAATTGTTTTATTTTAAAAGGAGTATATCATATGTTTTATATTTAAACTAATAAAAACTCAAGAAGGCTTTTTCTTATAGGCAACTATTATTTCCACTAAGAATGATAATAAATAGTGCTGTTTTCATTAATGTGCAGTTTTACTTATTTTATTGACTTAAAATTTCATTTGTTTTCAAACTCGACTGTTATACATTACATTACTAATATTTTAATATTGTACCTTAAAAATATTTGTAGCATAAATTATAAATTAAAACATGCTTACCTTAAGCAAAAATCTTGCATGCAATCTTTCAAAGAGAAGCATAGGCAGAAAAAAGTCAGACATAAAGCAGATAACATCGATTTATTGTGAATTAACTTGTAACAAAATAAAAATATTAAAAATTTTCTCTCCAAATCCACATTATGTCCATCTTTAACATCTTCGTAAATGCAAAAAGCCCGTTTTCGTAAGCATCGGTGAAGTTATCCGGAATGGGGTCCATGAATCTTCATACCGTGAGCCTAATGAGAAAAAATGGCTGATCAAATATGGATTTGGATATGGAGGATAAATTCCCACAAACTGTTACCGTAATTAGGAAGAAGTATCTAACACATTACGAGCGACACATGAACGAAGAAAACGTTTTAGCTCCTATTAACAGCCTATACATATTTTCGTAATTGTGAGCGCTCAGCTCAGAATTTATAAATTGAGGAAGCAAAGCATGCAGTAAATTCTACGAAAAATAAAATTGTCAAAGCTCTATGATGAAAATGTGCACAATTCTTAAGTAAAAGTAATTGTTTCGTTAAAGTAGTAAAATGCCCAATACATAAAAATATAATCATTTAACAATTTAGGATCATGCAAAATCCTGTGCATCTGGTACAAAAATATTATTACCGAATGCTTTCAGTCCGGGATCTCGGAGACCAGTCCTTGGAGTAGGAGGCTCCTCTTCGCCTCCCACCTCCAATATTACGTCCAGTTTTCCATCTCTCAACGTGGTAACGGATCGCGTGCCGTACCTCTGTATTCATGAAGCAGTAGAACAACGCTACCGTGAAACCCTGTAATATATAAATTTTTAAATACGTAAACTATCCTACAAATTATAAAGGATTTCTATTAAAAATATTAGTTGATAATATATATTGCAGTGAGACATAAATGTATGTCTGATTTACAGTACTAATTCAGGCTTATACTCTACATTTTTAATTACAGATAGGTTGACAATTTTCACCAAGCCGGATTCGCCAATTTGCCATTGGCAAGGGCAAATAACTATATTTATTGAAGAGCCGTTTGTTAAATATTATGGATAATGTTCTAATAGAATAAAATTTGCTCATATTACAACTTTGAAATGTTGAATACATTAATTAACCAATTTCAGTACAATTTGTTTTCAATTTTATAGCGTGATATATATTTTTTTAAATATTTAGATTGCTACTCTATTAAAAAAAATGTTCACTAGTTCTTTTGGAATTTATGTAATATGGTTTGTAAAATATTTACTACTTTAGCCGTGAAGAGTCCTCAATACTCTCGCACTTCAAAGAATTTAAAAGATGGGAAAACCTTTGAGAAAACAAAACAGGGTGATGTAATCCTTGGATTAAAAATAAAAAGAAAAAATATATTTTACAATTTTATAACATACTAGCATTGCCCGCGGCTCCGCCCGCGTTCAGATGACAAAAAACCAAATTCTTAGGTTTTACAAATTAGTATACTCTTACAATGCAATTTTTGTATTTTTTCTCAGAAATGAGATATTTTCCCGCGGTAAAAAGTATCCTATATGTTGACCCGGATAACCATACTAAATTTCATCAAAATCCCTTCAGTGTTTTTTCTGTGATGCGGTACGGAAAACAGACAGACAGACAGACAAAAATTCTAAAAACTATAGTTTCGGCCTCTGTATCGATAATAATATTTTTTTTCAATAAGATTTTCCAAAAAATATTTCATGTACAGATTCGGGTTAGTTACAATTATAGATGAATAAATTACATATACTCAACTCACCTTAAGCTTCACGTAGGATGATTTTGATAAAAAATCAATTAATATCTATAATAGCATACCAATGCTTAATATAACTCAATAATAATAATTACGTTCCTAAGCGAAAAGCGCGGATTTTTATATTATTCTTGCAATGTTAAGGGAAAATAATGATTGCATTATTAAATTGAAGATAAATTAATTGAAAATAACGTTTTGATCTGGAAGAAATGTATTATAAGTGAAGCTAAGTTCAAGCGTAACGTAAATATTTCTTTGACTTAAATTCTGAACAAAAACAAACCTCGTATAAAGCAAGTCCGCGGTCTAATACTCGTAAGACGATTTTGAGCAGCTAAAAGGGGATTAGACTCTTAAGTTTTGGTAAAGTCAACTTGTTTGTCGACCAACTTTCAAATGACTTTTCTAATGACAGACAAGACAAAAATACATTGTTTATGTCGCGTTAAGAAGAGGTCAATAAACATGAATAAATTTTTAGTTGTCTTAGTTTCACATAAACTTCATCACTAAGACGATTGTTTGCTTTAAACGTAAACAATATAATGGAGTTGCAAACAGAAGGAATCGCCCAATGGATTGGGTTACTTGTTATTTGCTGTGAAGATCTAAGATAGATGATCCGATACAGTTTATTTATAGAATCTCCAGAGCACTATTTATCAAGGGAGGGTGTTTGTACTTTATCTGGTGAGGGTGTCGATGGCGTATTCCTTAACAAACACTATCATCGCATTAGTATATTACTAAGGAAATAAATATTTCTTGTCATTTATAGTTTTTCTCTTGCCCTTTTCTTTCTCTTCTAGGAATTTAATGTAAATCTTAAATGTGATATTAAAAAACTGAGAGCTCTATTTAAAAAAATAATAAAATATTAGTCATAATATTTATCGCTCAAAAACATGTATAAGTGAAACATTAAACAATAAATATATATGTACGATCGTTTTAGGTGATTTAAAAATTTGGCGTTGGATTCTGCCTTCAATTCAATTCTTTTGTTAATAATAGCTTCAAAGCGTGTCAGTACTTTCTTAAAATCTTTTTTAACATTGTTTATTATTGGTACTATAGCAAAATCGTTTAAAATTAATAATAACTTAGTATAAAATACATAACTGACCTGTGTAGATAGCATCAAAGCGCGGGCGTAGTCGAAGGCATGCGCAAACCATGAATCGTCGCTCGGCCCGCAAAGTACAAGAAGATTGGTAATGCCCAGAAGCGGAATAAGAACGAGCAGGGCTTTCGTTGCTTTCCTATATTGTTCTGTTTCTAGCGTATTTGCTGAGCGCAATTTTGTTATTAGAACCTGTTGAAGTTATTTCAAATAATGAAAATAATATTGATACATTATGTATAATGTACCTACATCAATACTTAATACTATAAAGAGGTAAAGTTTGTGAGTTTGTGAGATTGTGAGTTTGTGACGTTGTAGGGGGTAATCTTTGGATCTACTGAACTGATTTAGATGAAATTTAGTAAGAAGATAGTTTGAGGCCCTGGGAAGGACGTAGAATACTTTTTCTCCCGGAAATCATCCCTTAAGGGGGTGAAAATGGGGATGAAAGTTTGGATAGGGAAGCAAGCCAGGGACGAACCCGAGCGAAGCGAGGGTGAGTCGCTAGTATTACATATATACATATTAAGAAAAATTTACATTACAAACTGTTTAATTAAATGCCATTAACTATTTTAGTAAACCTAGGAAGTTACGATAGGACACTGTTAAATGATAGAATGTACGAGTAGTACATACGATCTCAATTTTTAACATATTTACTTGTTTTCATACCTTCATCAGTAAAGTCGCTGTCGGTCGGTCGCGTATTTAATCGTCGGAACATTTGTTTCACGTCCAACAAAGAAATTACCTATTGTAGTATTAATTACTTACCCACATAATCCTTATAAGGAAGAACAGATTGAGCGCGAGGCCGGCGAGAGCAGGCGCTTTGTGTATCCAGTCCACCGTGTGCTCGTGGATCCATGTGCACATTTTAGCCTCCCCGGTCAATGTTAACTGTACGAGCGAGAAATAATCACTAAATTTCCTTATTAATTATGTCAAAAAGCTGATTTTTTATCGGCTACTATACATAGGATAAAATCTATATTAATATTATAAATGTGAAAGTTTGTGAGTATGGATGATGGATGTTTGTTACTCTTTCACGCGAAAACGGATGAACGGATCTGGATGAAATTTAGCGCAGAGATAGATTATAGTCTGAAATAACACAAAAGCTACTTTTTATTCCGGAAAAATGTACGGTTCCCGTGAGATATTCTGTTTTTATTTTCCTAGAGGCGAACTCGAGCGAATGAGGGCGAGCGAGCGAGCGAAGAAGCCGCTAGTAGGTATAGCAGAAACAAATGAAGAGTAATGGTTTTACTAATAAGTAGTTCAATATTATTTACTTTTATATTCGGTTAGCTTATAAAGTAGTTGTTGGATAAAATGTATATATAGATGGCTTAAAAATAGAATGTTAATTATTTTGTTTGAGTAATATTACTGCGCCATAGGTCGCTAGTTTGACCACAGATTATATTATTTCATTTTCTTCTTAATAGTTTCAAGGCGTGCTGGAGATTATGTTATTATAGGCTTCATAAGTTTGACGTAAGTATATATTATCAAATAGATATTTGTTTTAATCCGATTAGGCTAAAACGCAACGATTACAGCTACATAGGTACATACACGTAGTGTCGTGATGCTGGCGAAAAGAAAAAAGAACATTTGATACCAACTCTAAGGGAAAGTAAATAAAAATATTAGTTATAAAATATATAAAAACTTTTTAAGAAAAAAAAATAAAAACCGACTTCAAACATAAGCACTAAAAAGTAAAAAATAACTGATTGGTAGTTTTCATTTACTATACATACTTAATCAAATATTTTCGAAGTCGGTGTGCTTTGCTTTATATGGGCTGGCACCGATTTCGAAAATATTTGATTAGGTTTGTATTTAATAGGTAGGCTTTAATTACTTAGCCAAAGCACACCGACTTCGAAAATATTTGATTAGGTATGTATAGTAAATGAAAACTACCAATCAGTTATTTTTTACTTTTTAGTGCTTTTGTTTGAAGTCAGTTTTTATTTTTTTGTTAAAAAGTTTTTATTTTTCCCATTTTAGTGTAGACAGTAGTAGCAAAGTAAGAATTCTAACGTGTTAGGCTTGTCAAATCAAACAAAATAAGGCCAAACTCAAAGTATCTACCATTAGCCGTTGAAGAGTTCCACCTATCCACCTTCTGGCCTTACCATCAGATCAGGTCAAGAATACCGAACCACTGTACTATCAACGGAAATAGAAATACTTGCAAAGTTTCAAGTCAATATGACAATTAGAAGTAGGTTAAATTCATCATTAGTTGTTTTTCCACCCTTAGGGATGGTCTTTTTTTTTGAAATTTAAATTGGACCAATCTGGAAGTATACCCTTTCAAACAAAACAAAAATTGTCCAAATCGGTTAATAAATGACGGAGTTCTGAGGTAACAAACATAAAAAAAATACAGTCGAATTGAGAACCTTCTCCTTTTTGAAGTCGGTTGAAAATATAATAGAACTTCTTCTTTAAAAAAGTAAGAATTCGCATTTAAGTATTTACAACAGATTTTTTTCTTTAAAATGTAAAAAAATATTTTTTTACTTGTCAGTCTGGTTTAAAGTATCATTTTAATGTAGAGATCTTGTGAATGGATTCTTAAAAGAACACGTAAATATTATAAAAGCTTTTATTTATTATTTCTTTATTTTGTTAGTTGCATTGTATAAAATAAACTATATTATACATTTTCACGAATCCTTACAAACTAGAAAGCCATATCGTACGCTGTAATGAAGGTTTCCCCTAACCCCGCCATAAACCTTGATCTGTGGAAGGTTTCTTTGTGACGATACTATAGTTTTGTAGAAAACACTTTAATTTTTGTAAAAATATATAACAAATAATATGTAAAGTATAAAAAAATATGTGATTAAGACTAAATTATATTTTTATTCATATGAGCTTTAATGTAACTTACCTATTTTTTTAATACATACATATTTTTATGGTGGCAAATAAAAAAAATCTTAAGATCAAATACTACAAGTAAAGTTACAAGGCGTCTAACGACTAAAAGATCTAAGTACCCTGTGCTGGTCATCGCACCACGGGTCCTCTAGGACGGATAAACAACAGCATTTCCAAAACCGATCAGCAGTACGAAAGATGAAAGTACTGCGCCGACCCCAAGTAATAGGGAAATGGACAAGGCGATGATGATGACTCCTAAATTAGCTGTTATTAATATTTCATTTTATGGAATTAATATTGCTTTCAGAGCACGTTCTAGTAATTTTACTGTCAGATAATTAATTAAGGGAACAAAAGGAAAAATTGAATTACTTAAATTGAAACTTAACTGCTAGCTAAAGCAAATTCGTTCCAACTTTTAATCACACGCTTTGAGAAAGTAATCTAATTTGTTGTTTCTAATTATATATTTATGTTTTTGAAAACCTACGTATCTAGGTAATCTAGATAAGTACTGTGTGTAACAATTATATAATAAACCTTTGAGACGTCTAAACTCTTAATGTCTCCCATAACCACGATTGTTGTAAGGCATTCAAAATGTTGGGAACGACAAAACAAAATAAATCCGCGAAAAAATCCGAAAAGATAGTTTATTTAAAATTTTAAATATTCGCGTAAATTTAAGAAAGGATTCTTTGTTCACGGTAAACTTCAACTATAGTATGGCTTAACACATGATCTTTGAATAAATTGTTAAACCGGTCTATTAACTAAGTCGAGAGAGAATATAGCACTGAAATTGTTTCTTTTAACATTTTTTTTCTTTATTTAATGACATTTTGAAACAATTATGATTACTCGTTAAACCGTATTTATTTTAAATGATAAATTATATGTAAATACATTCAGACTCCACTTCAGTAAATATTAAAAGGCCTCATTCTTTAGAACTCTTGCTAATAATAAAACAATAAAACGTAGAAATCTTAAAAAACTTTTTGTATAATTTAACCTTCAAAAGAAACGTCTAAAGTTATACAAATAAAAAGTTAGTCTTTGATAAAATAATCTTTTATTTTAGCGTTAATTATAAGGTTGGTAAAGTTTAAGAGCGGTTACTAACTGTTGGTGGTTGGGGGAAGATTCGTATTAAAATTTGTTCTTTTTTTCTGTTTCGAAAGAATTAAAAAAAGTTTATATTGTGTTTATACGAATCAAATATTTAATATCTGTAAAGTGATTTAAAAATTGTTCAAAAAAAGTATTAAAGCTTTTTATTTTAAATGCTGAATCTTTGTTTATAATTTTCGAAAAGTTGAACGAAGTTTATAAAGATAAATTAAGTGAAATATGTACATACTTCTTATGTACATATGTATATTAGCTCTACTTACTCCGTCCGGTCCTGTCGAGGGCACAACGGAGACGAAGCATCGAGATATTACCCATATCGTGATGAATATGGCTGGAGCTCCTGTTAAAAAGGACATATAAAAAGAAATTTAGTTAAACAGCATCTAGAACAACTTAGTAGAGATTTATAAATTTCTTATCTTAAATGACTTATAAGTTTGCCTTCCGCAAAAAAGTAGTAAATTTATAATGTCACCACTGATTGAATAACAATATATGTTATTAATACCTCAGGAACTATTAATCCGATTTAAATAAATCTTTTGGCATTAGATAGCGCGTTTATAGAGGAAAGCTTATAGGCTATATATTACCATGCTATTACCCAAGGGAGCGGAGAAGTAATCATAAATGTCAACAAATCGACCAGACTTCCATACATTACTTAAGTCAAAAAGTTATTTTTTGGTAGTTTTATCACAAGCGAAGCCGCGGGTTCTGCCAAATGCTGCTGTGGTTATACATATATTATAGACGTGTAAAAGTGTGTGATAATAAAATATGTCCTTACAGTTTTGTATTATAAAAAATAATAACAGGTTGTGTATTGTTTCATTCTCTTTCGTGTTGCTGAATGAACCAGTTTTGTACGGTTGTGGCGCAGAAGATTATATAGGTATCTGGACCGATATAGTGTCATCAGTTCAAATCCTGTACGTTATCCATTTTTTAAATAATATTATGATGTTTATTTCAGACAAAGTGTGGACCAACGGCGTACTCAGAAAAAAAGGTGTATGGAGATGTATCAGAATATATAATAGACATCAAAAATATGTTTTTTTTAGTTTGAAAAAATTATATACATACCTACGTCCTTTATAGATAAAAACTTAATTAACTTAACACACAATTTAAAATTTTATCTAAATCTTTCATACATATAAAAAGATAGCCCCGAAAGTCTATTCATTGTGGCTAGCGTTCGTTTACCATTCTCTTTCATTCGCGGAGAATAGTCAAAAATATCCACAAAAATATGAGTTACAATACGGGGATTTTATTTAATAAAAAGATTCGTGAAACTCATTAAAATGTTCAGAGCATTTAACATCAGATATATAATAATATGAAAATAGCAGTTAAAAGTTTATAAAAACACTTTTAAATGATATACATATGTGTATTATATAGGTATATTTTGAAAAAGTTACTATTCATTTTTGTGTAAAAACACAGAAAATATTAAATTATAGATACTGAGTCCAGAATAATTTACTTATAATATAGTATTACATATCCGTGCTGCTAATAAGCTGTAATGAAGCCGTTTGTAGTATTCTATAAGGTTTAAAAGCTTTTTTTTGTTATTAAACTAACCAGAATAAGTGTATAAATGAATTAATAAAAATATTGGTATTTAATATACCAGAGCATCACCAGTCCTTTGATTCAGGTAATAAAATATTCAACTTAAATTTCTACCCTTTTAGTCAAAGAGTTGACGTGGCTAACTAGAATTTCATTACTTTATAAGCGCCTGTTTCGCCTGTTTTTAAAGCAATTATTTAGAAATATTTTGCATAGGCTACTAGGATTTAACAGTAAAATTTTATGAGTAAATATTGACTTTATAATATATTATCAGCGATATTTTTATTTTTTTCCATGTCCAGTTTTTTTGTTGATTTATTATTTTGGTTTGTAATGTCAATTTTGCCATTTTTTGGTCTACATAGATTTGTCTTAAATGTAATCTAATTGAACAAAAAATTGGCGCACAGGCGGACTTGGATTACTACCAACATTTTTTTTTAGTAATGGTTATTATTTGTTGTAATTTACAAATTGATTGAAGTGAGAAAGGTAGATCTCTAGCAAATAAGAAATAAGTGGTTTTCCATTGCGTTTTAAACACTTGGTGCAATATAATATAATCAGTGTTGCAAGATTTATTGTTTTATTAAATCCATAAATATAAATGCGAAAGTAACTCTATCTGTCTGTTACATTTTTACACCTAAAGGAGTCTGCCCAATACACCGTCTTATACCATGACTGTTTTAGGACCGTACCAAGCAAAAAAATATTCTTCTTATTGAAAAGTATGAGACTATGCTCACTAGACTGGTTGCTGGTTTGGCAACGTCGCGTGCCGTGCGCGGAGCGATAACAATTGTCGGCGAGAATATTTCGCCGGCGCCGGTACGCTTCGTGACTGGCACGCGACGTTGCCAAACCGGTGTGCCCAGGCAGCGAAACGGTGAACATACGGGCTATGACCGCGTATGACGACTGTTCTAAACGTATTGCCGCTTGTCTTGCCACTTTATTACCATCAGTTCAACAAGACGTAATTACGTATTTGATGTTAAAATGGACGACGAGAAACTAATTGAAATTGTACGCAACTACGAATTTTTATATAATTTGAGACATCCGAAATATATGGATAATATCAAGAAAGAAATCGCGTGGAAGGAAATTGGAGAGCAACTAAAACAATCCGGTAAGTTTTTTTATTTATTTTCTTATTTTTAACATGTAGATATTGTCAACTATTATAATATTATAGTAGGTATTTAACATAGTACAAGCCGGTAAAATAGAAAAAGGGATTGAAAATACTATTCTTTTCAGTGTGTTTTAACTGCATTGTATTTTTATTAATATAAATTAAGTTAATAATGTGAAAAATAAACCTTTGGTTTGTTTGTACCTATATTGTACTAAGGTACTTCGCATTGTTGTTTTTCGATGTAATCTATATAAATAAAATTGAAGTGTATGCTGCTATGTCAAATAACATCTTTTTAGTTACTAAATCTGTATTTATATGAATATTATAAAGAGGTAAACTTTGTGAGGTTGTAGGGGGTAACCTCTGGATTTACTGAACCGATTTAGGTGAAACTTGGTAAAAAGATAGTTTGAGAACCTGGAAAGGACATAGGATTCATTTTATCCCGGAAATCATCCCTTAAGGGGATGAAAGTTTGTATGGGGAATCAACCTAGGGACGAACCCGAGTGAAGCGAGGGTGAGTCGCTAGTGATAATATAGCTATATAAGGTACTTATAAGAAAAACACCATATTTATCATTTTTAACCGCCGACGCAAAAAGAGGGGTGTTATAAGTTTGACAGCTATGTGTGTCTGTTTGTGGTACCGTAGCTCTTAAACGAGTGAGCCGATTTGGATGCGGTATTTTTTATTAGTAAGCTACTTTCTTGGTGACGATTCTTAGACATGTTTTATCAAAATCGGTGCAGCCATTTGCTACATATGGGGGATGAAAGTGGGTATGAAAAATCGAATATTTTCAAACATACCTAAGTAGGGTATCAAATGAAAGCGCATGATGTGTATGTAATATACTAAATTATATATATATAATTAGACGTATTTTGTCAAAATCTATCCAGCCCTATGTCTAGGGGTGAAAGTGGTGATCAATAATCGAATAATTTCAAATATACTCAAGTGGGGTATCAAATAAAAGGGTGTGGTGTGTATATTACAATTAGATATATTTTATCAAAATCGGCTTAGCCATTTTAGATGTGGGAGGGAAAGTGGGGATGAATAATCGAATATTTTAAAACGTACCTATTACCTACCCAAGTGGGATATCAAATGAAAGGTCATTATGTGTATTTAACCCCTGACGCAAAAAGAGTGGTGTTAAAAGTTTGACATGTCTGTTTGTTTCTGTATATGTATGTGTATCTGTGTGTCTGTCTGTGGCATCGTAGCTCCTAAACGAATGGAACGATTTTGATGCGGCTTGTTTGAACGCTGACGTGATCAAGATGGTTCTTAGCTATAATCTATGAAGATCTGTTCAGGCTTTTGATGATCATCACTCATTTCCTACTTGACAAAAGGCTCTTACTAATTTTCACAGATCCGATTGATTTGAAATTTCGTGTATTGTTACTTCGGTGGTATTTCCAAGACATACTAACCTTGAACAGATGCTGTAGCATCAAATAGTCTGCGGGATGCTCAATTCCTCAGAAACTTACAGATTATATAATACATATATAGCGTGTTTGGGTTCATAAGAATAATCTCAATGAGAGGTCTCTATTAGAATTTGTGTCCGCGAGTACTTAATTTAAAAAGAATGAAAAAAAAAATTTTAAGTAACCCCCGACACAAAAATGAACATCTAAAAAGTAAAAAAAATAAAATTTCTCTCTTGGCCTTTTAACTTCATTAAAAATACCCATTAATATTTAATGATGAGCATCGTCGCGTCGGGGAACCGTTAAGTAAATGAAATTAAAACCAGAATACAAATAAAAATAAATAGAAGATTGATAATGATAAAGTATTAATGGTCCCCCGACGCGTCGGCGGTCATCATATTTTTTTTTTACTTTTAGACGTTTTCTTTTGTATCGGAGGTTGTTAAAAAAAATTTGTTTATCTGCCTGATTGTTTCGACTAATCCCCGAAAAGGCTGGACCGATTTTGGTGGACTTTTACTAGTAGATAGCTGATGTTGTAAGGAGTAACTTAGATTACCTTTATTTTAGAAAAATGAATTAGGGTTCCGCTAAAAAAACGTACCTACGGACGCACCCGAGCGAAGTAAGGGTAAGTCGCTAGTAGGTAAATATTTGTCTATCTATGAGGAGGTACAATAATAGTGGAGTACCTACTTATAGACGACAATAGAGTATGAGTGAGAGGAAAATAGAACTACTGCCATTTATAATCCCTTTCTTTAGTCGACCGGCTTGTATAGTATTTTTAATAAAAAAAACAATCTAATTGTCCCTCTGACGTTTGGCAGTAATCTGCGCATCGATTGCGTACATCAAAAGCGGAAGAAGTTGCATTACACCCTTGACGCTGCAGGTTGTTGAATTGTATAGGATTAGTTGCCTCTGAGGTTATAGATTCTCCGCGTCTTATAAAATTATACAAAATACATGTTGTTAAATCAATCATTTCCTTACACTTTAGCTTTATCCGCATAATTAAATAAAATCGGTAATGCTGTAATGGATAAGGTCTTAACATATTACTTTTTAAAGGAAAAGCTTCGTCTCATAAATCATTTCCCATAACATTATATCGATTATAGCCTCACAAACTTCAATAACTGCACGTCTCACGGAACTTAATCCCACACGAAAACTAAAAGCAATTGAAGTAAACGAATCACCAGTCGGTTATTAATTAAGTAAGAAGTAATAAAGATAATTTATAATAAAATGAATACATTATGTTTTTTTTGAATTCTTAACAAATATTACATTTTACTTTAAACCAAAAACAAAAAAATTGAAAAAGACGCCAGACAACATCTAAAACGTTTGTTTATTCATAATATTTGGAGAAATATTGTAAAATGGACCGCGAGATTTTGTAAAATGGTTCTTATATTTAAGACAAATCCAATGTAATGTTATTATGCCATTAATTAGTCTGAAATTTTATTTTACAGCTGTTGCTTGTAAACAAAGGTGGCAATGCCTTCGAGATTCGTACAGGAGGGCTTTAAATAAAAGAAAAAGAAAAAGCGGACAAGCTGCCAAAAATATGAAACTATGGAAATATGAAAATGAAATGGCGTTTGTAATTCCTTTTTTTATGGAAAGAAAACCCCAGGATTCCGTCGAAATTACAAGCGATGGTGAACTGTCTGATAATACCGATGAAAGCCATGCGACAGAATCCAACGCTTCAGAAAAGCCCAACACTGACATTGAGGTCGACGACACTCCTGCTAATGTTAGTGATGCTAACAGTAATAAAATATCAAACGAAACTTCTCAAAATAAGTCACAACAAAAAAAATGTACCAAGAAGCCAAAAGCAGTCAAGAGAAAAGCCGACCGATCAGAGCCATCAGCATCTGTTGTATTAATGTCAAAATTGCTCGATGATCAAAACAAACTTGAGCCACCCCGAGGACATGACGAGCTAGATCGCTTTTTTTTAAATATTTCTGATACTGTTAAGAAGTTCTCACCGTATGAACAAGCACTGGCAAAAAATAAGATATTTTCCTTGGTGTCTGAAATGGAATTAGAACAACTTGCCCCACCTAGTTCATTTTCATACGTTTTCAAGCCATCGCCACAGTCATCAAGTACTGAAATGAAATACAACTGAAAAGATCAAACAACATTTTTTCCATATATTTAATACACTTAAACAAATTTCCTTTTACTTACCGTAGATACACTGCTAGTTTTTCTCTTGGTGTAAGACTTTCTCTAAATGTGGTCTTTCTTTTAGAGAAAATATTTTCAAACTTTCCCCATAATTCATTAAATTGAAATGACGTCATATATTATTGTTAATTCTTTCCTAGACAATTTTCTCACAGCCATCCTATATGTATAGAAAATAACTTTCTCAACAAAAATATACACTCGCTTTTCCTAACGCGTCTGCCTCACGTGAAAACACAGGTGCCCTACTATAACTGAGAAAACGGGAACCATACATACGGATATGACACGCGGATAGTACGCAGATGCTGCGGCAACTAAAACCGTAAAGCATGGGTATGATACGCTGTTGATACGTTTTAGTGGGCACACTAGTCCGTGTCATGCTTGCTCCCGTACCTGATACGTTCCAAGCACGGTCATGATATGAGAGGATGTAATGGGCAGACTCCTTAAACCTCTGAACCATTTTTGATGAATTTTAGTATAGAGAGAGATGGGACCTTGAAGAAGAACAGAGGATACTTTTGTTGCAAAAATGAAACTGGAAACGGGTGAAATAGGGGTTGAAAGTTTGTATTGGAAATAAATCATTTCTCAAGTCAAGGACGAAAAATTATTTATTACCTATAATTTTGGTAAGAAATAAAGAATATTTCGTGGTTTATGACCAATCAAGGTAAAATAGGGGACGATTTCAAGTTTTTTAAAAGTACTTACCTACTTTTCTATACCTATGTATATATAATCTTTCTATTCCATACTAACTGTTAAACTGGAATAAATAATAACTGAAATTTATTTAAGACATGTATTTTAATTGTAATTGTGCAATCGACTTACCCCATCCAATTGTTGTGTAAACTTTCAGCTTAATATTTTCTGCCGTAAATGTTTCAACTACTAACATATATAAATATAGACCTGAAAATAAAATAAACGATATAAATTTCATTTTTTGTTCATTAAAAATAAACATAGGACTGTAGACAGATGAGACAAAACTAAAACAAGTTACTAAAATTAATAAGTATTGAAATTGATTTTTTTTATTCAAAGAAAGACCAAAAAAAATGATCTCAAATAAAAAGTCAATTATTATTTAAGTCTGTATTCATTATAATCGACTGACTAAAGAACGAAAGGTATGAAAGCAAATCGAATATATGTATATGTATACATATATACTTATTTAAAAGGATCAAGCTAAGGGTATCGGGTACTTAATGAGGGATTTTATAAAAATATAGTTGGTATAGAATATTTCATATAATGTTTTTTTTTTTTATATTTAGAATCCTTATTCATTATATTTATAATAGAAATGTGATTAGTATTATAAATGTGAATGTGGATCTACCTAATAATTTTGTAGGTTTTAGTTCATTATCTACAACTTTAATATTTTTCTTTTCAATAAAACCGTATAACTTAAAAAAATATTACATATTTTATTTTCAAGTTTTTAGTTTTTTTTTTTCACTATCTAAATTCTATGATCCACCATGCACTTCTACTTGTAAAACCCTTTCATTTGATACACATATTAAGAGGGTTGTGAAAAAATATAAATGGACCATTTTGTTGGCGGCCATATTGGATTTGGATTTTTTTCACACAGTGTACTGTAGTTTACTAGTCAAGTCCTATCATTTTATACCCATATTGAGAAGATTGTGAAAAAATATGTAATCCGCCATGTTGTGGCGGCGGCCATCTTGGATTTACAATAATAGGTACTGAATATATTCAGTTGTATTGTCATCAGAACTGAAGATGTGTACCAAATATCCGATCAATCTGTCATCAGGAAAGGGATAAAGTTTCAATTACTAAATTTAACCCTAACAAACAGGGCAAGCAATAATAAACCGTTTAAAAACATACGGGAATGACATATTAATATGATTCTCTAATATTGTAATATAACGCTTATATTTGTACTTTCAAAACAATATTTATTTCTATTCTTCACCGATCGTAAAATAAGATCTTGCTAAGGACCCTTCGTTTATTTTTCTTTCACGTAGGCTTCGGAGTGACGAAAAATTTTACGAAATTGGCGCTATATTTTGGAGTTCATTATTCTGGTGATTTTAAGAGACGCTGACTCTATTTGTAATTACATACTAGTAGCTGATGTTAAACAGGGTTTTTGGAAGCAAAGTTACTTAATAAATGAAATTTGTTAATTTTAGAGGCACAAAATTATCATGAGAATATTTTCATAACATATTCTCATCTCAGACTAGGTAAATAAGTGCGATAGATGCTTGTAGTATCGCACATTTGGTTGAGAGTTTCTAACTGCTTTTATTGCATTTGGCGGAACTATACTCATAAAATTAGATTGGAAAGTTTTACTCATACAAAGTTGAGATGCCCGTTTTTGCTCTATAATATTAGATACGCTCCAGATTGCTTGAATATATTTATTATAATTTTTTAGTTAAATGTTCCAATTTAATATAACACTTTAACAGTACATCTTTCGTTACAAGAGAATGATTTGTTTTTTATAAAAAAATCTGAATATGGTTTCCAAATAGAAAAATTATTTGACTCTAAAGGAAAAAAACGAAAATATTAATTATAACTGGCTTTATAAATAAATGGTGTAAATTTGATTTAATATTAAATAATATTTATTATTATATGGCCTTATTTGCTTTTTGTTTTTATATGATGTTGTATATTGTGTGTATCTTTTGTTGGAGATCCTAATTAAAATAAAATAAAAAAATAAAAATATATGTACATGCTAAAAAATAAATAATCACTTTTATACTTTTTTGAGTTAAAACTTCTTTAGACGTGACTGAGGGGTAAGTCAATACATTGGAAAAATGAGTGTCGTGGAAGTGAGAGTCATTTTTTTTAATATAAATTATATTTTTGTAATAATTATATATAATTGATGATGTTCTCCTAGCCGATTCCGGCTACGGCGGCCAATCTCATTGAGACTAGCCAACTGCGCAGGAGATATTATAGTGCTCAAGTGTACGCGCAGACACAACGTGCACTCTCTATTCCTGTCACTCTCATACTCCGGTGGGACGACCACTCGACACGACTGGTGAGAGTGTCGGCGCAGGACCGACGGCTTTACGTGCTCTCCGAGGCACGGGGGTGAAACACCGCCAAATTCCCAACTCCGGGCTGTTACTGAGGCTTACTATACAGAAAGACACAATAACTAAACTTGGCCCGACCCGGGACCGGGCTCCAGAATCGACCGAGGCAGTTGCCTATATTATAATTATTATTTATTAAAATATATATTTATTATTAATAATAATTCATAATAGGTAATTATAATCTATACTCGTACATATAATAAAATTGTAACAAAGTCGAATCTGTACATTAAATATTTTTTGGAAAATCTAATTGTAATAGACATTATTATCGATACAGAATCCGAATCTATAGTTTTTAGAATTTTTGTCTGTCTGTCTGTCTTTCTGTCTGTCTGTCTTTCTGTCTGTATGTCTGTCTGTTACCGCATCACGAGAAAACCACTGAACAGATTTTGATGAAATTTGGTATGATGACAGCTGGTTATCCGGGTCAACATATAGAATACTTTTTACCGCGGGAAAAGATCTCATTTCTGAGAAAAAATACTAAAACTTCATTGTAAGAGAATAACCAATATGTAAAGCCTAAGAATTTGGTTTTTGGTCATCTGAACGCGGGCGGAGACGCGGGCAATGCTAGTGACTTATAAATATGAATATTTATTTCTGTAGGATGAATATGCATAAATTAAATAAATTTATTATGACTAATATGTGAAGTATGAATGAAAGAAAGGAAGAGAGTTTGTTCGGTCATGTAGAATGAGAAATTTTTAGTTTTAAAGTAGGATGAAAATTACAAAGACGTAATAAACTATTGAAAAATTATTAATAATTAAAAATTATTAATATTAAGGTGATTGTGGTGTGATGGTTTTATTGCTGATATCCTCAATCTTATTCTCCTCATTACTAATAATTTAATAAAAAATATTATATTGATATTTTGATTTGTTTTAATTTAATTTCGATATTTGCCATAGCGCTAATGATGTTTTACTTCAACCGCGGGTTACACCGACAGGTTACACTCTGCAATTTTTTTTAAGATCTTATATGTAAATAAGCAGATAAAACAAATACTGAAACCCTTTTCCCTCTGCTTGCCAACTGATTTTCTTTTTTTTTATTTAGTAGCTTTCGCTTCCGATAGACAGCGATTCACGAGCTTTAGTATTATTATCAATAAAAACACTGCATATGGTCGAATTTCGAATACCGGGTAAATACTAAACTAACTTATATATATAGTATATTCCGTATGAATATGTTATTTTGTTAAATTGAACATGAGTGTTATAAATTTTTGAAGCTTTCAACAACTAGCCACTAACAAGGGTCGGCCGGCGTTTTACATAACATTATGAATTACTAAAAGGATTCTTTACAGCTTCACAGAAACATATTTTCACCTCTAAATTATAAGCTTTATCAACCTAAATTATGTTTTAGTTAAATAGTTTTATATATGTAGTCTTATATATGTATAGTCTATGGTTATAATATGGTTTAACCATAAGTTTTTTCTCATTTTATAATATTCTTTATGATTTAAGTGATTCTGTATTTAAAATTAAAAATAATATTGATTGGTTAAATAAAACCTTTTTTACTATTCGATTATTTTTGTCAAAAATTAAATATCTTATCGTACTCGTATATATTTTGATCGATTCCGATTCAATCGAGTAATTCGATCATAACATTAAGAATTAGAAGTACTACAAAGTCTAAACTAATAATATAAAGAGGTAAAGTTTGTGAGTTTGTGAATTGTGAGTTTGTGACGTTGTAGGGGGTAATAGTTGGATCTACTGATCCAGAGATTACCCCATATAACGGTTCAGTAGAACCGATTTAGATGAAATTTGATAAAAAAATAGTTTGAGACCCTGGGAAGGACAAAGGGTACTTTTTATCCCAGAAATCATCCCTTAAGGGTGTTCAAATAGGGATGAAAGTATGTATTGGGAATCAACCCAGGGACGCTAGTACTAGTATAAAATAATTACTCACCTTCAACTAACATCCAAAAGAAGTTTGTTAAATAGAAATAATGCATGCATATCACTAGAATCATGCAAGATGTCTGTTCTTGTTGAGCTTCATCTGACCAGTTCTGAAAAAATATTTTCATTTTTACTTTCTTTATTAAAAGATTGCACAAATTTCGCCTTGTTCTTTCTATCACGTGAGATACGGAGCCTTGCGAGAAGCACCCTTATAATATCCCTATCCCTATTGAGTATTGAGCTTTAAAGACTGCCACTTTTAGATTTAGCTTAAACCTTGCTCTCCCTTCCCAGTGATACAATAAAAGCTAGTAGTCAGCATTCAATGAATACAACTATACATTATCAATTTTTTGATGTACACCAACATACGTTTCAATGTTTATGATATTGTAACATATGTATAAAAAACTTTAAGAAAAATAATTAAAACTGACTTCCAGGCACTAAAATATAAAAAATAACTAAACGGAGGTTTTCATTTAGAATACATACCTAATCAGATATTTTCGAAGTCGGTGCCAGCCGATGGAAAGCAAATCTAATATATTTCCATACGTAAAATACATATTTACCTATTAGATATTCATATCTTAAAATATTTTAGGCTGGCACCGAAAATATCTGAATAGGTATCTATTCTAAATGAAAACCCCCGTTTAGTTATATTTTTACATTTTAGTGCCTGGAAGTCGTTTTTTAATATTTTATTTCAAAAAGTTTTTATTTGTCCATTTTTAGTGCAGACGTAATAAGCAGGTAATTTGTTATATTATGGACTATATATTGTGGACCAGAAAACTATACCCTTTGAAACAAAAAAATAATTTCAAATCGGTTCAGGCATCTTCGAGTAATCGTAGTGAACATACATAAAAAAAAGATTTCGACGAATTAAGAATCTCCTCCTTTTTGGAAATCGGTTAAAAACTTTTAGTATGTAGAAACTATAATGTACAATTCATACAATGTATTAGATATTTTTGATATTATAATCTGTTTAAGGGAAGGATTGTTTCACTTAATGTTGATAATGTTTAATTTTAATTTAAATTTTCATATACGCCACTCTGTGTAATACATAGAAAGAAGTAAATATATCATAATAAAACTTTTCATCATTTTTCTTCACTGTATGGTGAAATTCTATTAAAAGATCTATTATTAGATAGCACTTACTTGTAACGCTAAATTTAACATCCAACTACAAGCTGATAGTATATAAGTGGACATAAGATTAGTGTGTATTGTATTTCGAAGACATCTCAGGTCTCTGAAACAAAAGATATAAATGTACATTTCAATCATAGTATTGTTTTAGACCGCAATTTCATTTAGCTATTTTCTATTTAAGGTTGTTATTGCCTTCTTTTTAAAAAAAAATAATTTTACTTTTATTAATAAAGTCTGTGTTTATTTATTACTAAGGCATAATCTGATACTGAAACAATAATAAAAAGAACAGATTTAAATTGGTGTCTACCATTGTGAGTTTCGATACCATAGATTTGTATAATTTTATCAATATAAGTATGCCATAGATAAGACATATATATAGTCGTAAAATTAATAATATAAACGTAACTAATAATGTTGTTATTTAAGCGAAAGTAAGCTTAAGCAAAGGCTATTATTTCGCAATTCATACAATTTTGTTCTCTTAAAACTTGACGAAAACACACGATATATTATGCTATGAATTATTTTTTAATGAATTAATTATTTGTCAAGTGAATAAATTGTTAGTTCGCATTGAAAAAATATAAATTATTTAAATGTATATACTGTTCTTATCCTTATAAAGAAAAATGATTAGTTTTATAAAAGTATTATATATAAATTTGAACTTGTGTTTAGTTTTAATGTAAAAAAGAAAAAAGAAAACTTATTTTATATTAATTAGCAATGCCCGCCGCTCCGCTCGCATTCAGATGACCAAAAACCAAATGCTTAGGTTTTACATAATATTAGTATACACTCTTACATTGCAATTTTTGTATTTTTTCTTAAAAATGATATATTTTTGCGCTGTAAAAAGTATCCTATACGTTGACCCAGATAACCAGCTATCAATATACTAAATTTCATCAAAATCCGTCAGTGGTTTTTCTGTGAGAGAGACAAAAATTCTAAAAGCTATAGATTCGGTACGGAACTATAGACTCTGCATCGATATCGACGTTTATTTCAATAAGATTTTCAAAAAAAATATAATGTACAGATTCGGCTTACTTACAATTTTATTATAGGTATGTATAGATAAATTTTTGCTAGTAGAAATAGACAACTTTAAAGGGGGCATTCATAATTCGATTTTTATTGTCATAATGAAATAGGTCTTATGTAGCTTAGTGAGTATGGCCTGTAATAGGTTTTAATAAAAATAATAATTACTAGATAAAATGAGATAACAACAAGAAAATTGGAAAAGATATTCTTATAAGGTCTATTGTATAACATTTCTTGTAATTCAAAAACTAATATATTAACATTTTATGCCATTTGTTAATAGAAAACAAACTGTTTGGTGAATCTCCTACATGTATTATTATGAAATTCATGCAATTATTATGAAATGGCTGAACGATGCATATGCAATGTTGAGCTTAACTTTAATTATCTTAATTTATCCTAGATAGATTTGAGGACACTGTATGAATTCGATATAATCTATCTTGTATAGATAAGAGGTCCCGCTATTGAGCACGGACCTACCTTGCTGGCCAAGTGTTGGTTTCGCAAGCATCACATGTCTTTCGAAAACTTGCTAGGTACTCTCAGACATGCAGGTTTCCTCACGATGTTTTCCTTCATCGTATGGCAAATGGTAATCACGTTGAAAATAATTCGCATATGAAAATATCAGAGGTGCGAGATCCGGGATTTAAACCCTCTTCACTCTGCTTCTCAAGCGAGCGCGTTACCGCTGCCTTAATATGTCTTCTTCTTCTTCCTGCCCATTTCCCAAGTCACTTGGGGTCGGCGCAGTAAGTCTTCCTCTTCCATTCTCCCCTATTACTCGTCATCTCATCATTCACCCCTTTCTCTTTCATGTCTTGTCTCACACAATCTATCCATCTTTTCTTCGGTCTTCCTCTACCTTTCCATCCATCTACATTCATTTCCATCACTCTTCTCGTCATATGCGTTTCATCCCTCCGCTTCACATGCCCATACCAACTAAGACGATTATACAGATGAAAAAATAATATTTGAAAACATCAAAAAACACGCATCGTGCGTACATTTTAGGGGATATCTAACGAGAATCCTTTTATAACAAATTAATAATGAATTATGGGAGGCAATAAAAATATTTTTTTATTTTATGTATCGCGTATCACTTAATTCCACACGAGATGGATTTCAATGGCGTTTTAATTAAAATGCTTTTATAATTACTTACAAAACCCCGCGGCTTCGCTCGCGCTAAGACTACAGAAAAACTACAAAAAAGTAGGTTTCATACAAACTTTCATCCCCTATGTTACCCTCTTATGGGATGAATTTCGAAAAATGCTAAAACACGTATTTATTTAATTGTATTGAAGAGCTTTAATACTAAGTTTCAAGTAATTCTGATCAAAATAATTTTTGCGTTGTAATTACCGGTTTTTTCCCGTGGGAATGAGATTATCTCCCGCGGTAAAAAATAACCCTCCAACTATCTCCATATAAAAAATCACGTCAATCCGTCACGTTCGACGTGAAAGAAAGACAAATAAACACACTTTCACATTAAATGTTTCACAAATTTTGTAATATGTATACATATATGTGTGTGAAATTTGTGGTACTCTTCAATCATTTAATTTCGGGTTTAGCGAGTCCCTAATAAAAGTTAGTTAAGTCAAGGTGGAGTTTTTTTTTGTTTTTTAAAACTCAGTAATTTTATTCTACGCTACGTATTTCCATTAAATTAATAGGTCATTTTAGTAATCGTGAACTAAGTAAAGAAAAACTGCTCACAGCAGCTAATTGATAATATGTAATGTTCGACTAAATATTATTTGTTTCATTTCAAGCAATTTTATGACAGTCTTATATATATACAAATAGGCAAAGTCAAAACTAGTTAGTACATATTTCTTCTATATTTGTCAAACGTTTTTTTTGCCTGTATAATATTAGTTTATTAAATATATATGTGAAGCCATCTAACATAATGCCCTAACCGTTTCTGTTATGAGTCTATGACGTCTAATATCACTGAGTCTAGCAAACTGGGGACATATTATTGTGCACAAATGTGTGCACATACACAAGAGCACTCCCTATTATTATATATATTCCAGTAGGATAATAGTTCAATCGAACAGGTGATATAAGGTGCAGGGTGAGCAGTTTAACGTACTCTCCATGCCACATGAGTAGAATATCGGAAACTTCCCAATTCTGGGTCCAATTTGGTGACAGAAAAATCCAATAACTATTGATTGTCGACGCGGCACTCGAACCCTAATGACCTATTTACATACATGTGCAGTGCTAGCCAGTGGACCAACGAGACAGTCAAATATTTATTGATATAATATAGACGAGTTCTTTATAATATAGTTTCAATGTCTCACTTTTTATCATAATAAAGGAAACCATTTGAATAATACGCTGCAACTTTTGTACTCGACTCTCATTGTTTGTCGAGCTACAGTCTATCTATATTGTCATTATTTGCCGCATTACGTGCTTTTTAACCTTTAGAATATTTGGAGGCTTTATTCTAAATATTTATTTTTCTTTGAGTTTTTTTCTCAAAGCTAGTGTAAAATCTATATGGATCTATAACGCAACATAGTTTATTATTTGAATTACCATAGCTTAAGAAAACAATAATAACGTCTACACAATATGCTTTAATTATAGCTTAAATTCAAAGCAAAGCTAAACAGAACAAATTATTTTATGAATTAATTTCTTTTACACTAGCGGCTCATCCTGGTTTTGCTCACGTTCGCCTTTAGAAAAATAAAAACAAATTAACCCTCGGGAATCATATATTTTTCCGGGATAAAAAGTAGCTTATGTGACAGATTCTAGACTATAAACTATCTCTGTGCCAAATTTCATGAAGATCCGTTCAGCCGTTCTGGCGTGAAAGAGTAACAAACATCTATACATCCATATTCACAAACTTTTACATTTATAATATTAGTATAGATAATAATTATGTCATAAAATAATTTGAATGTAAAGATGAGAACAAACATCGATTTATAAATGGTGGGTATTTAGGTATACTTGCTGGTTTTAACCTTTAACGTATAAGGTTCTGTTCATAGAAAATCGGTAGTCTAAAAGTACTAGTAGCTGGATTATTGCGTTTGTATAGTAAGGGCCTCTAGAGCCTGAAAGCCAAACTCCCCCTTCTTCCACCCTGTTCCTAATTTTTCTTCCCCCATCTTTCCTTCAACCATTGTAATAACGTGCGAGTAGCTATGCCATATATATTGCAACGCTACATACTTTTCGTAATAGCATTTCTTATAGTAAATAATAGTTAAGTATACTTTCTAGATAAGTTTTATTAAAAAATACATGTATACTTTAATACATGTATAGAGCTAAAGAGTTTGTTTGTTTGAACGTGATAATCCATAGACCTAATGGACCGCCTCTATATATTTTTTTTGCATTTTATAGCCTATTAAGGAAGGTTATTTCTACTGTCACAATACGACATAATATAAGAGCATAATAATTTCACTAAATAAATGAGGCAGGGGCCGCGAGAAAGTGCTATATAATTTAGAAAAAAACCACATAATTTACTTACTTGAAATATAAGAAAACAAACACAGCGAGAGACAGTACAGCGAGGCTCAGGGAGTATCCGGCCAAATATATAAGACTAGTGACATCCGTCGGCGACACGTTCGCGATCCTCTCTGTGCAATTTGCGTAATCCGAGTAGTTGTGCCATTCTCCTTCCAGACATAAACGGGACGCATTTTCTGCAAAAATATACGAAACTTATATGACGTTACGTTATGTTTACGTTTTAACGGTTAGTACGAATAGAAAAACTCTGTGAAAAACAAAAACAAATCTATCCCACGGGAACGGTAGATTTTTCTGGGGTTAAAAGTAACCTATGTGCTATTTCAGACTATAATCTATCTCTGTGCCAAATTTCATCCAGATCCGTTCAGCCGTTCTGGCGTGATTGAGTAACAAATATCGATCCATCCAAACATTCGCATTTATAATATTAAATAATGGGATAATGAGATTTTTGTTTTTAATATTGTATTGTATTATTAAGAGTATAATGGTGGTTGAATAAAACAAAAAAAAATTGTTTATAATTAAGGAATAAAAGTTTGTTTGGCGCGCTAGATGTAGGTAGCTACTTTACTTATAATATTGTAAAAATATTAAAATGCGATCATTAAACTTAACAAAATAATGTAAGAAATCATTATTTTAATATAACAACTTAACGAAAGCAAATCTAAAGATATAATATAAGCGAACGCCTTGTATTCAGATCACATAGATTCATCATTTTTGTTTGCCTTGCGTCGCGACAGCTGGCACCGACTTCAAAAACCAAAAACATCAGATTAGGAATCTAATAAATTAAATGTCCCGTTTTAGTCCCGTTATTTGTTACTTTTTGTTTCGATGTTTGTAAATCAATTTAAATATATCAAAAAAGCTTTCTGCCTTAAAAAAGCCTACCTATTCACACTAGCCAAGATAATTTTTATATGATGGTGATGTTCTCCTAGCCGCTTCCGGCTACGGTGGCCAATCTCATCGAGACTAGCCAACTGCGCAGAAGATATTATAGCGCACAAGTGTACACGCAGATACAAGTGCACTCTCTATTCCTGTCACTCTCATACTCTGGTGGGACGACCACTCGACAGGACCAGTGAGAGTTAAGGCGCAGGACCGACGGCTTTACGTGCTCTCGTACGTGCTCGAGGGTGAAACACCGCCAACTTCCCAACTCTGGGCTGTTACTGAGACTTACTATACAGAAAGACTCAATAACTAAACTTGGCCCGACCAGGGACTCGAACCCAGGACCTCCGAGTGTGCAGCCGTACATGCCAGCCGCTACAGCATCGAGGCAATTTTTATATAATACCGATCTAACAATTCTAGTTAAAACTTTGTATATTACATAGGGATAAAAAATCAATTTTTGTAACTAGCATACAATAAATAAGATTTTCAGATTTATCTTAGCCCAGATTCGAAGAGTTTACTAGAAGATATTGAATAGTTCCACTATCTACCATCTGGGTCTATCGTCCAGCCCGATAGTATGAAATTATTGTACTGTTATCGGTAACACATATTAGCAAAGATTTAAATAATCTCGGGATCTACCTTAATAGTTTTTTTATATCAAGCCGTTTCTGAGACATCGATGAATACGTAAAAATACGAACATTCGACCTTCTCCTTTGTTTAGATAGGTTAATATAATATTTTTGTGTAAAACGGAGTAGATTTCTTAAAATATTGTGATTTCAGTCGTAAAATCTAAAGTTAATAAACTATTCATTGTTATTCACATCTTATATTAATAATTTGGATTGTGCGTTTTAGTTTCATAAGCCGCTATTGAAACAAATTCTTATTCATCAAACCAAAATAACAATTTAACTATTCGTATTTTATCTTTTTAGGCCACCTTTTTAATTGCACTTTAGCTTAATCGCTTAGGTTTTTGTCGCAATGAAAATTGCATCCGTACGATGTAAACCTTGACTTAAAAAGATAGGTTGGAATTAAGATAATCTTATTTTAGAATAGCAAGTACTGCTTAGGTCTTATTGGATGAGACTACTCAGTTTTTAACTCGATAATTTAATTTAAATAGTAATCAAATGAATTTGAAATATTTTCGAACTTGATAAATATACATATTTTAGAAAATATCTTTATCTAAGTTCTATACACGACTTACGATTTGTCGTAGTTTTTCACAGTGACAACGTATCATATCAGTTGTATGTAAACAAATTATTATTTCGTATAATTATTGCTAGACTCTGGTTGTACTGATTATTTTTATAACATAAATATTTAAAAGATACGTGTTATCACTTGGCAAAAGATTTAAATTATTTTTATGATATCGAGGATCTAATTATGTAGAACATGAAATGCTTAATATAAATTATTGAAGTGAAAACTTCTATAGGCAGGTTTGGATGTGGAGTAAATTCATGCAAGTCGTCATCGACATGGTGACGTGACGTGTTAACGCTAACACTCTATACTAGAGTGCCTATAGATGTCAAAACCAGATAAATATAAAAACTGTTTAATTTAAGATCAAGCAATTAATTTGAATATCCAAAAGTAATATCTCTTTGTTTATAGTTTTAAGTTTCCACTTCTGTCGGCGGTCCTCATTCCTCACGACTGATTTTATTAAAATGATTGTACGAAGTTATATATTTAAGGCACTTTGTTCATACACTATAAATATTGCTGAAGATTTACAATTCAGCAAACTTGCTAAGTAAATAACTCATTCAAGACCACGCTCACGAAATAGATAATTTTATACCAGCACTTGATTTATATAGAAAGTTACAACACTATCATAATATTATATTATCCAAAAGATATATGCCATATTCTACATGCACCGAAATAGATTATTAATATAATTATTTTATGGCAAAACATATAATGTCATAATGAACTATAAACATAGTAAATTACTTACGCGTGTCGTCGTATTGTACACCGTGGAATTCACTAAAGCACTTTTGCACGGCCAATGTGTTCCATGGCGTAGGATCCCAGCATAACAGTCCGTCGAAATACGATGGACAAAAGTTCTGGGATAAGTTGAAATTTTTGGCCAAGCATTCTTCACTAGCATTGTCCCCCACTCCCTCTGCATCGTTCAAGGTCTGTAGCTCCTCCAGTTTGACTACTTATAATATTGTACCGACTAGAAAAATTTAATTCTGGCTTGTTCTTTCGAACTAAAAATCACATTTATCTGTTATTTCGCGATGTTAGTTCTTCCATTGCGGATAATTTAAGTGTCTCGCACACGACGCCTTATTGCATTGGATTCTGTGGAGCTCTCTAATGTCACCAGTAAGAATGTTACCATGATAAGGTTGTTTGATCGCGGCTTGTGTTTTAACTTATCAAGTGATAACGCTCCGAGAGCAAACATCGGCAGTCTATAAGAGTATTTATGGATCGTGCAAGGAACTCTAATTTTTCTCTAATTGCCTTCCAACTCGCCCGTTTAACCTGCAACGAAAAGTCACTGATAACATTCATAGTAAGTACGATAAACTAATGTAAACAAGTTATATTTATTTAAGTAACGCTACCACGCAGTTTCATGAGAGTCATTTAATACATTAATTGTTTATTTATACTATATGTAACTACTAATATCATTGGCGTCAAAATATATTTTTTACGATAAGCAAAAGTCATTATACGATATGAATTGTGATTTTTGAATCAACGGGGGTCTTTAATGGGGGAGGGGGGTCTAATTTATGAAACAAGTGATGAATTAAAAACTTAAAAAAACCTCCGACCATCTTGGACCTATTTTCATCAAACATAGCTAAGAACAATCCCGACTAATTCACATTTCAAACAAAATCAAAATCGGTTCATCCATTCGGGAGCCTACGATGCCACAGACACACACACACACACACACAGATCAGATACGTCAAGCTTATAACACCCCGTATTTTTTGCGTCGGGAGTTAAAAATGAAGAGGTATTTAATCGTCTTATATCGTTACGTTTCTTATTTTCATTTATAAACCATAATAAATCTTAGCAAGTAACTATACTCGCTAAAGATGTACTGCGCTTTATTAAGGAGAAGTTATTTTGTAGTTAGTTTTAATATGAAAAACAAAATAAATGATATCGGCTACTGTTCAACAGGAACAATGAATAAGATGTATGTAAGTATTGTACACGAGAACGTGAATAACAGAAATAACAGTGTAGACTTACAATTTGTTATTTTTGGTTTTATCTCTATCCGTTTGTTTGCGTAACCTAAAAATACAACAGTATTATAAGACGTTGTTTCTTTTAATATAACAAGGGGCAAAATAACATAATAGCAGAACTTTAATACTGTCTATACTCGTATATGCGCTTTGTACAGTTGGTTTTACGACATTTTGTTGTCTGCCTTTGGTTCTCTTTCAAAGTGAATGTATTGAAATTATGCAGCAATTTTATATAATATAGTGTAGTTAGATATATAATATTTTATCCTTTGGAGTAACTGGTCGGCGAGGATTTGTAAACAAAATGTGTTTTAGTAACATACTTTGTCTTATTCTTTTTTATAAAGTATGTTTATATTTAAACGTTTATCACTAGATCTAATACGCAATTTCATAAAGATTTGTTTACTAAATAGTTTAGCAAAAAGTTTTGTCAAATTTTAAAAGTAAGATAAGTTCATTATAAATAAAACTCGAAAAATCTAAAACATTTTTGAAATATTTTGCGGATTTATTATGATTTTTGTTTCCTGTTTCGAATGCTTTACAGCAATCATAGTCATTTATTTATTTATTAATTAATTTTTGGGAAACAAACAGTGAGAAAAATCTTAAAAATAATTAAAAACTACGAAATCCACACACCAGCAAAGTTTCCACCTATAAATATGTCACAGGTAGAGTAAACATGATTAATAATATAAGTCATGGGAGATGATAAAAACGAACGAACGAAAGTATAATTTTATTTAAAATGTCATATATTAGCGGAAATCTAAGAATTGATTAAGATAAAATCATCTAGGGATGCTTTCAGATACCTACTCGCTCTACAAGATGCAAAGAGAGATAACCTTTCCAACTTAAAATCTATACTTTTTCTAGGAATGCTTTTTAATAACCTTATATAAATAACTAAATGATTGGCATATTTCGTAAATCCTAAGCTTATTTATTAAAAATATAGTGAAATTCATTCCGTTACGAGTAAGATGTTTGCAAATATTTATATGAAATAACTAAGGGGAATAAAAACGAAGCAAACGAGGAAAAAAATCTCATAGCAATAAAATAAAATTAAAGTAAATAAGTTTTTTGTTTGTAGTGTGCTTCCGGCTTATTTGGATTATCTTAAAACTATTTTAACTTTCCTTAACCTATAAAAATTGGATACGTGCGAGTCTGACTCTTGCCAGACTCTGACTTTTCTGAGAGTTCCGTACAATCATATTTTTTCATCAACTTTGATGTTTTTACTTAACTAAATAAAAACTTGTTAGATTTCAAAATAAATTAACATTTTTATATTTCCCTAGGTATGATTTTGTTCACAATTTCATGGGTTTTAATTTTTTTGCGCGGAATCCTGATTGACAGACAGACAAAAAAATGTTTTTTTCTTAATAGTACCTTATATACTTTCATATACATTTAATAAAAAGCAGATATAAATTTATTCACAACACATTCCACGCGTTCAGTAAAATGTGATATATCGTTGTGTTCGTTCTGAGTTCAGTAAAATAATAACTTTAAATTTTATAGTAATTTTTAAAGTAACTATGAAAAACGAAGTAAATTTTTCGATCGCTAAACTAACAAAGCATATAACCGGAAATCCTACATCTCAAAAATTACTAAATGTATATTCACCCCTTTTCAACATCCCTCTGCAGCGCAAGGGCTTCGTTCAATGCGAGGCCCATAGTTGCACACATTGCTTAAGTGCGGTTTGGCGGACTTCACATGTCTGTCGAAAACTATTTTGGTTCATTTAAAAATAATTCGGACATGAGAATATAAGAGGTGCGGAATTCCGTGTTTGAATCCGCTCCACAATGGTTTATCGAGACAGCACTACTATTTAGCTACCACTGCCTTCAGCGTTCTGTTACCACCTTTTTTAGAATTTATAGTGTTTACCACTTCAGAAAGACATAGCTCCGAAACTTAAATAAAACATTTATCTTATTTTTAAAGACCTATCCGAATTGGGAAATTGGGCGCTCAATTTTTTTACCCCTTAGTTACACAGTTCGTAATGGCACATCATGGACGAATTAGAGACTAATTCGTTCATGTGGCACATCTATCTATACTAATATCATAAAGAGGTAAAGTTTTTGAGATTGTGAGTATATGACGTTGTAGGGGTAATCTCTGGATCTATTGAACCAATTTAGATCAAATTTGGTAAGAAGATAGTTTGAGACCCTGGGGACATAGGATACTTTTTATCCCGGAAGTCATCCCTTAAGAGGGTGAAAATGGGGATGAAAGTTTGTATTGGGAAGCGAGGGTGAGTCGCTAGTTTTTTTATATTTAATAAAAAGCTTTGTGTAGTGGTTAAGACGTTACAAGAACCTTTTAAATGACAACTATATTTAACCAATACTCTATAAGTTAAATGGCTGAGACATACGTACAAACAGATAAACATGATGAAATTATAAGTTTCGACTTGCCTTTAGCTACAGAACCCTATAAATGACGAAAATGTTAAAAGACATTAAAATATAGCGCATATTTAAATTTAACAGCTTTTAACACAACAATTCCCGTGAGTTATGGTGTAACTATTTCTCTATCAACATTGAAGATTCAAAGCCTAATTAGGTTAAATGTTAATAAGCCCGTGGAAATTCCCATGTAGTTTATTTATGTATAATAGCTCCACTCCAGAGCGTAATATCTAAAGGTATTTAACAAGATACCTTTATCTATTACCTCTAAAAGGTCTACCTTTCAGAATAAATGGACTATAAGAAGCAAACATATTTTTTCAATATTATTATGATCTAATACGGAAAATTTTCCCGTGAGTATACCTGTGATCATATCGCCTGTAACGGTGCCGAACTATCAGGAACTCTCAAAAGTATAGGTATGCTGTACATGGTAAATATCCCGTTTTACATCATAATAATAATAATATTGTCAGTAACCATGAAAATTTAAAGACTTATATGATACTAGCACTGCCCGCGGCTCCGCCCGCGGTGAGATGACCAAAAACCAAATTCTTAGGTTTTACATATTGGTATACTTACATACTTAATTACGTACTTACATTGCAGTTTTTGTATTTTTTTTCTCAAAAATGAGATATTTTGCAGCGGTAAAAAGTATTCTATATGTTGACCCGGATAACCAGCTATCATATACCGAATTTCATCTAAATCCCTGTAATGGTTTTTCTGTGATGCGGTAACAGACAGACAGACAGACGGACAGACAGACAGACAAAAATTCTAAAAACTATAGATTCGGCCTCTGTATCGATAATCATGTCTAATTCAATAAGATTTTCCAAAAAAATATCTAATGTACAGATTCACAATTTTAATATAGGTATGTATATATTTTTTCAAGTCGATTTGGTAGCTATAGAATATAAAGTTCTGACTTTAGTGGATATATAATTTTTACTATAAGGCATATATGTTTTTAGTATTTGAGCAGTGTAAAGTTAGTATTGTGCTTAACATTAATAGGCAATCGTGAAGTGAGCTTTGTCTGTCTACTTAAATATTAATTTTAAAAAAGTTGTGTTTGTAGGTAAAATTTTTAGTCTAAGTTATTTATAAAATAAACTAGCGCCTTCCCGTGGTTCCGACTGTAGTTCAGTTGGGTACATATCGTTATAAATTATAGCCTATGTCTTATCCTCGATAAGTTTTATTACTGTACGAGTAAAGTATCATCAAAATCCATCCATTCAGTAGTTTTTGCGTTAAAGGGTAACAAACATCCTAACATACTTTTGCGTTTATAATATTAGTAGGATTAATAATTACCTAGTATTATTTACCTTATATTTTTTATTACATATTGTATGGAATTATATAGACTTTATTATTGTAGCAATTTTGGTATTGTTACAAATTGAATGTATTGTTGTCAGATACGAATGAATTATAGAGAAAAAATTAATAAAATGGAAAATGTTTAAAAGATACTTTTATGGTATATACTACTATATATAAGTGATGTGGAACAAATTTGTGAAAATATAGTGTATGTATCTGTACAATGTAGAAATGTTATACACATTTTAATTGGTCTATATGCGTAGGAAGACGGCGCCGTTTCCCAAATATTGACATTAATAATTTAATGCTGTATGATATAATTAATGTACATTGTACACAAAATCGTATAGAGTTGCTGCCAAATTACAAAC